AGACTGGTCTTGAACTCCTGACCTCTGGTGATCCACCCGCTTTGGCCTCCAAAGTGCCCAGATTACAGGTGTGAACCACTATGCCTGGCCTCAAATTAAAATTTTTTTAACATACAACTTTGCTCAGAGTCTTTCCTGTTTTTTTTAAAAAAGTATATTCATTTGATCATACACACAAGATTTATGGTTTAGAAATAATCTTTACCTTAGACTCAATACAATACCTTGGTTAACTAATTCTAAAGAACTTGGGTTTTTTCTTTTTTTTTTTTTGCCTTTGTGTTTTGCTTTGAGATAAGAGCTCTCCCTTTTTGAAATTGGATATTCTGGCAGTATCTGGTTTGTTTTCTTACTACTTTTAAATCTCCTAAAAAGAATATTAGAAATCTGTAATCGTTGTTAGGATTTGGTTAACATTGTATCATGTCAGGATAGTATCTTTGAAATTTCTGCTAACTATACTAAAAACTTAATCCTTAGAAGTTGATGATCCCAAAAAGAATGGATCCATGAAAGTTACACCTTTTTTTTTTTTTTCCTTTGAGACAGCAGAGTCTTGCTCTGTCACCCAGGCTGGAGTACAGCAGCTCAGTATCAGCTCATTGCAAACTTCGCCTCCCAGGCTCAAGTGATTCTCCTGCTTCAGCCTCCTGAGTAGCTGGGAGCACAGGCGAGCGTCACCATGCCCAGCTAATTTTTTGTATTTTTAGTGGGGACAGGGTTTCACCATGTTGACCAGGCTGGTCTTGAACCCCTGACTTTAGGTGATCGGGCTGCCTCAGCCTCACAAAGTGCTGGGATTATGGGCGTGAGCCACGGGGTGCCCAGCCAAGTTAACTTTTGATAAATTTTTTGTTTTCTTTAGGATTAGAAAGTTGAACTTTTTAGTGTCTACTTTAGATATCAGCCACTTGACAAAATTCTCCTTTGTTTCTTTATCAATGGACTTCATTTATTTGTAAAGTGTTTACTAAGTCACCTATTCAGTGTGCCAAGCACACTTCTCTATGGGTTGGAGAGAAAAGACACACTACTTCTACTAAGGATGTTCTTTCCTTTTCTTCTTATTGCCAGCTGGGACTGTTCCGAATACTTGGAGGAATTTGTGAAAAATGTGTTTTCTTTATAGAAGTGCGTTAGAAACCAGTATGAATGAGTGATAATAGATAGGTAAAGAATAAAAAGATGCTTCCAGTGCATGTAGAATATTGAGGTTAATGAATAACTGATAAATTTATAATCCATTAAGTTCAACTTTAGATCAGTCAGTTGTATAGCACGTGTGAGTAGAAATCAGTCTTTGTAGAAACGTAGTACCTTCTATTTCTTTTTTTTTTTTTGAGACGGAGTTTCGCTCCTGTTACCCAGGCTGGAGTGCAATGGCGCGATCTCGGCCCACCGCAACCCCCGCCTCCTGGGTTCAGGCAATTCTCCTGCCTCAGCCTCCCGAGTAGCTGGGATTACAGGCATGCGCCACCATGCCCAGCTAATTTTTTTTATTTTTAGTAGAGACGGGGTTTCACCATGTTGACCAGGATGGTCTCGATCTCTTGACCTCGTGATCCACCCGCCTCGGCCTCCCAAAGTGCTGGGATTACAGGCTTGAGCCACCGCGCCCGGCAGTACCTTCTATTTCATAGCTGAAATAGGTGTAGCTTTCCCTTATGCTTAGATATTAGAAATGCTTAAAACTAATAAGCTGTATATGCTCATTTAATAATTTAACATTGAGAACAAATATTGCAAATAGCTAATTTGATGTACTTCTCATAAAATTTTTGTAGTGGTATTTGTGTATAAAGTACTGTTTCTGATTTGAATATACATGGATTTTCAGTAAGAATCTTTAAAAATTTTATCATCAACAGAAAACATTCAAATGATTTCATTGCTGTACTGGTAGGTTAATAGACGTATTACAGCCATTTGCTGTAGCAGCGCAGCATTGCTGATTTTGTTAGCTTTGGTTTGAAATGTTTTCTCTAGTGGTTGAAATGTAAGTCTAGCAGTGGAATAAATATTTCCCTCTCTTAAAATATCACAGAGAAGAATGTTGTCCATTAAAATAAAATTAGGTAAGGGCTTTCCTGGATCATTTGTAGGAGGTTCCGTCAATAATATTCTCACAAAGGCTGCTCTTTCTTGTTAAAATAATGACCTCATTTTGAAAGCATCTTTACATTTTTTTATATAAATGATACATTATCAAATTCATTGTTTTCATAAATTATTAACTCTTAAAGCAGGAAAGATACTAGCTCTCCACAGTGATTTCAAAATAATTTCTACTTAGAGAAATCTGTGTATTCGTTTCTGAGTATGACTGTCGAATTAGAATGTTTTGGTACTTCAGGTAAAACAAAGAAGTTACATTCCGAAAGTGTTCTGACTTGGGGGAGGACGGTAAAGATGCATTTTCTCCAGCCAACTCTCATATTTAACTTGCTATGTAACATAACCTAAGGACATTTGGTTTTTTAATCTAAGTTTGTTGTCCTTTTAATCCATATTATACTGTGGTGTGTGTTAAAGATTTGGATGCATTTAATGTAAAGTTCCTGCCGAAGGAGAAATCACCTGGATCAACATTTAATCTGAGCAAGATCTGGTTTCCTGGGAGTTGTTTTTCATTTTCAAAGTGAAGTAGGCCTGTAAACGTAAAGATGACAATTACCAGGTGTATTTCCTACTCAAAATATACTTCTTTCTTTTTGCCTGTATTTTCACTCAGCTCTGTGTTATTCCTGATTAGGATTCAGGCACTGAAGGAAAATTACTGGAAAGCTAACTATTGGAAACTACTGGAAAGGAAATTATAGGAAATTGGGAAAATCATATCTTATTTATAATTTCTGAATAGGTTTTTAACTATTTCAAGTAGTTTACTTAGATTTCATTAATTTAGAAATCTTAGATACTTTTCATGGTTGATATTGAGCCATTACTATATATGGAAATAAGTAATTTGTCAAATAAATTGATTAGAAAAGACTAGAGGATGACTGTTTAATAAATTTTTAAAGCACTTTTGTAGCACCTGTTTGCGCCATATAGGTACAGTGAAAATGTATGTAGATAGTGCCAATGTACTGATTTTAAGCCTTTTTCATCTGTTAAAGAGCCACCCCTTAACAACTCCAGCTGTGGAATGCTTTGTTTAATCTACTTGGGTTTTTTAGACTCTTGAAACTACTTAATTAGATAGCATTTATTGAGATATTCGGTATTCGGATCCTTTTTCTAATTTGTGCTCCTTCTTAACATATACCTCCTTATTGTGATTATACTGTAAAATACTTTTAAAAGTCTACTGATCTAAAAATACAGTCTTTTAAACACTAAAAGGCTTCAGGACTTAAAATCTATTGGAAACTTGAATTGAAAAAATAGCTGCCACTTAGGTGCATAAAGTTATTTATTTGATACCTCTTGTTAGATGGGAGTTTCACCTTCTTTCCAATTTTTTTCTTTTCTTTCATTTAATATTTCGAAATTGCAGATTTGCTGGTTAAATTCATAGGTTTTCTTTACTTAGGCCAAACTGTCTTCATTTTTCATTTGTGCAGAATTGGATATGTCCCTGTGCAGAGGGTTAGCTCATTCTTTTCATCTTTAAGCTTTTAAAAATATGTAGTCTAAATGTTGGTGGGTAATGGAATAACCATTCCTTTTCAGCTTTTGGTACATTTCCAAACTGGCTGGCCAAGCCAGAAGGAAGTGAAGGCATTAAAAACACTAACTTTGGTTGGTTGCTACGTTCTTAGTGCTGAGACTATAACCTTTGTTGGTTGATTGATAGAGAACAAGACAACACAACCCTCGTTCCACTAACAGGTAAGGAACCCTTGTGATAACCAGTTGGTATGAGAGGGAGGTTACTTGATAGCATTTTATAAAAACTTTATCCCAAAATATAACATGTCCCAGAAATAGGATACTGTGACTGACTGTATTCCATAGAACAAGGATACACAGCACCTTTATATTTAGAATAAGATCTGAAATTTAATAGGGATCTATTACTCTGTACCACAAAGCATAATTGATCTGTTTTCCAAAGGCAACACTGTTAAAATTTATCCTGCAGTCCCTGTAACTTTAAATAGTATCTGCCTATCTTCTCTTTTCAGCTTTTCCTTGATCAGATGCTATGTGCTTTGAACTTCCTTCTCTTATTTACCTTACTCCTATAATAAAGCTAACTATTTTCTAGTATCTTTGTCATCATCTATAATTAGAGTATATCTTACTGCTTTAAATAGCCATTAAAGATTATTCCTGGTCCTTCTTGACCCAAAAGAAAATGATTATGCATTTTAAAAATGATTTTGAGTCTGGATTACCTATATCCACTATTCTCCCTTCCCAGTTTTAAAGCTGAGTGCTTGAAGAATAAATCTTTTCAGCGATAGTAGTCATAAGCTTTGATAAAATATAGGCTTAGCTTTGTATTGCTATAATATGGGCCTATAGTGTGATTATTTCTTCAAGTTAAAGAAGACTTGAACACACAGAAGAAATTCAGCTTCTTAGACTTTCCCAAAGTTTAGTAGTAGTCCTGTTAATATGCTTGATTTTTTTTTTTTTTCTGTTTCTACTTTTCAGTCCATCCTCTTTTCTTTGACAGAAGAATTAACTGGGACTCCTCCTTTGATATATCTGAGGTTGAGTGCCTTTTCCCTGTCCCTTAAAGACAACTATGATCTTGTTTCCAGTCATAATATATTATTTTTGATTTGGTCTTCCACTCAAAAGTTGAGCAGTTTATCAGAGTATGTTATGGCTCAGACCAGTACAGGTCCCTTCTTGATAGTTACTGAGGAGTTAATTGTTTGTGATGACAGACTTCTAAAATTCAAATTAAAAAGGCACTGAAGAAGTATGCCCAAAGGTAGCTCCTTTTTATCCTGAGGATAAGCCATTACAAACTCAAATGACCAGAGAATGTAATTTCTTAATAAGAATTTTTTCTTAAATCTATATTCAGCTCTCTATTTCAGTGCTTCTCTCCTACCAGAGGTGAAAGGAGTGATCCTAGAACCACAGATACAGCCAAGACCACGGAGAGCTTTTGACGTCAGGGGTCCACTTTCTCCACTGAACCCTTGGAGACAGAATATCCAGCTTCTGGAGAGAGTGGGAAAGGATAATAAACAAGTGGGTGCTTTCCATTATTTACTTGGGTTAATTTATAGATTGGAGTGTCCTTCCATTGCCCATTTAATTCTATGGTAAACTCCTTGGGTTCATATAAGAACCAGGTGGGACTGCAATCTCTTTGTTTTTCTAAGAATGCCAACTAGTGCTCATTCAAAAATGAGACCCAAAATTTAATTTTCTCTCCAGATAATTAAAGCAGTGGATGATTTGGGGCACATGATTTGATGAATGCCTGTGTAGTCCACAATACTTTGAAAGAAGGAGTATCTACCCATTTTGGCCTTTATGGTATTAGTGGACTTCTGAGTGCTCTTTCCTATTGCAGTAATTTAAAAGGTTCTGTATGTCATCTCTGGGCAAACTGGACATTTGAAATCTAATTCATACAGTCAGATGTCTAGTTATTATCCTACCCTGTTAGTGAGAACTTTTTGGTCTTTTTCCTACCTCAAATGTTAGGACTTCATATGAGATCTTTTAAAAGATGCATTGATAGTACTATTAATGGTTTTACTGTCAAATTTAGGCTTCATTCTAGAATAAAAGATAAATATGAATGGATGTAAGTTTCAGGATACAACATCCCTGAAAGCTATGTTTAATATACTCAAAAGTAGTTTTCTAGCCCCTAGGAATAAATATTTTGTGGTAAAAGAGCCCTTTCCTAGATTTCCCCCATGGCATTAAGATGGTTTTCTCTTAGTTTCTTTGATGCCAAGGGTAGGATTTGATTCTAGGAAGTTCTTATCACCTACAGTGGGTAGAATGTGAACTTGTTACCTTTGACAAGTTTTCATTTTTCCTTGGTGGATTCCTTCTGTGACTCCAGGTATCTTGATAATGGGAGACTGGTTTATTTGTTCTTTAATTGCCCAGATTTCTTTCAACTGGTAAAACATCACACTTCTTCAGCAAAAGGAATTCTTCTAGCAGAGCCTTCATGGATGATATCTGTCACACATGCCAGCACCTGCAGTTTGGAAGGCAGTGGTGAATGGATCCATCAATATGTCTAGAAGACACAAGGATGAGCCAGCCACCTGATCTTGTCATTTATAAACTTTTAAGAATTACTCTGGTTTACTTTTGATCTGAAAATGGAAAGGCTCACATAATGAAATAATATTTTCAGATTGGAATTTTACATGGCCATGAAAATATTTCTTTCTATTCAGAAGACTGAAATAGAGGAAGCTTGAGAGACTCCTTTCTTTTAAAAGCAGCTCTCTGTATCTGTTTCATTTAAAAGATTTGTGGGATTGAAAATCACCTTAATGAAGTAGGCAAACATTTTTTTAAGTAGTAGAGGAATTCCAGAAAACTTAATGAAATGATTTTTTTGTTGCCTGACACTGAAAGTAACTAGTAAATAAAGGGTGAACGTCTTAATTATTCAAAAACTACTTTTAATATTAGGATATACTCTTTTAGCTCATCTTTGTGGGTCTTGAGCCTTATTGTAATTGTTGAATCAAAAAAGTTTCTAGTAGAGAATAGAAGAGACATCTTTTGGGATGGAAGTAGCTTATCTGTCCTCCAAAGTAGTAATACATACCTGTTAAACTTGAGGTATTTTTCCACACTGAAGGCATGCTAAAGTTTGAATGGTACTGTCACAAAACAGTAGTTTACAGAGCAGAGGCACTTAGAGTAAGCCTGTATGTGTGAATGAGTAAGTGCTAAAAATAGTTATTTATCCAGGCTATCAACTAATCGGTTGAAATAGTTATCAGAATGTTTCTGTTTCTCTCTTTCTTTGGTATCTATTAACTGGTCAGTCAAAAGCTATTAAAGAAAATTTTTAAAGTCCCCTTCTACTGCCAGTTTGTTAAATTTGGCACACATTTTAAGAACAGAAATTTTGGAGTTATTAATACGGAAGCAACTGAAATGTTTTAGGAAATCTCAAAAGCTTTAGAAGCCACATTTGCTAAAGTATAATCTGCACTTTAGTCTTTCTTGGCTATCTGTACTTTTTTCTCATTAATTATAAATAAGTTTTTGGAAGTATAATACTTAAAAGTAAGTTGAAAAAATCAATTTGAATTGAAATTTTCCCAGAGAGCTTTGAATTTCCATAAATGATTACAGTTTTTTACTCCTGATTTGTTTTTAGTAAACGTTAATAAGACAGTTGGTTTATAAACACATATAAATTCAAAAAACCGCTAGGAAGAACTGAAGGAGCTAAAAATGAAATTTGCTTGGAAATTAAGTTAGTTGAATTCTTTGAACCACAGTACAAACCACTTTGTGGCCTGTGAGGTTATAATTTTTGTTTCAGCTTTGAAGGTGAAAAGTGATTTAATCTCTCAGTCTCGTGCTTTGATTGAATTTTAGCTTTGTTCCTTAAAGTATGAAAAAAGAAATGTAAGTGCATTTCTAGTCACCTCATGCCACGACAAGCTATTTATTTAAAAGTGAAACTTTTTGTGTATTATTGTGAACTGATTTGTTTATTTAAACTTTTATTTTGGTGAATTTACCTTTGAGTTTTTTTATATTTCGTGTCACAAAATGAAGTCCTCTATTTTTCAGTGTTTATTTTATGAATATTAATATAAGCTATTTTTTCTAGAATGACTAATTGTGTAATATCTGTATCATGTGATCATTTGAAAACTAATAAATATTTTCTCCATGAAAAAAATGCACTTACTGATAATGGCTTATTTCTGTTTCAGGAGTAGAAAGTGAAAACTGCAACAGTATTTTTAAATGTGTTTTTATTTTATGTGTCTAAGTATTTCTGAGTATATATTCTACCTTTCTGTATGTTGTTACAGTTTTTTTTTTCCAGAAAAAATTTTTTGAACAGTTAAATTACAATGATGTTTTATGGGGGTCACCAGTGAATGTGTAGAATAGGTGATCTGCTTTGTATTTTTTTGCATTTTCCTGATTAGCATCATCTTACCTTTGTTTCCAGAATTGGATTTTTTTAGATGCAATTTTTGTACATCAATTTTGCAAACTATTAAAATTCTCTTGAGTTGATACTGTAAATATCAAGAGTAATTTGGTCAAATCTTTTCAAACTAGAGTGATCAAAATATAACCACTTATAGAATAGCATCCGAAAACAGTTCCTTGACCCAGAAGAATATAATTTGAAAATAACGGTGGTTTAGAGAACTGTGCAATTCATAAGAAATGTTGAAAAATGTTTTGTATTTTAGTGTTTTACTGTCATAACTTGCATAAATAACTGTAGGAGAAATCTTGACCTCATAGTCTCTTGTTTTTAAATCTTATCAAGACAGCATAGAAAAGGGTAATATTAGTTTTAATGACTCTTGTTTTAATGATTCTAGTTTTTATAGCTACATAATTTTACTTAATAGAAGCCACAACCTTCAATTACCTTTTCTATGCAGGATATGCTTCAAAGCAAGAGGATTTCCTTTCGAATTTGAAGGAAAGTTATTAAAGAAGTGGACCCCCAGAATTAAAAATAACATTAAGATGGGTCCTAGGCAAGAAATAAAAATTGAATTAGTGAACAGTTGATGGATTAAAATGTAATAATTTGGCTCCCCAGGGAAATTATGCTCTGGAAAAAATCAAATTTCTAAAAGGCAGTTATGATTTAGAATAGCTACTGTATTGGGGGTAGGGAAAAGGAAGTTGACATGCTTTGCTTTAACCTGGTAAGTTTGGAAACAAAGATTCTGTGGGCAAAATTTTGTTTTTAGAATTAAAGCTTTTAAAAGGTTTACTGACATCGTATATTTTAATGGAAGGTTGTATTTTATTTGAATATAAAAAAAATCTATAAGCTTTGCTATATGTGTAGAAAAGGTAGGGTGGGCATGGGAGTTAAAATACATCCTGCATTGGAAACCTGAAAAAATACTGCAAAGATAATGATGACGTGATGTTTTAAAAATTGAAACATGAAAGACTCTTCTTTACATCATTAGTAACCTTCAAAATAAAAATATTACAGAATGTTGAATTTGGCTTACCATTGTGTTTTCGAGGTATAAGAACATAGGATTATGGTTTAGCCATCACTGACTAGATTAACTGCAGTATAAAAATCTGTTTGGATTGTTCCTGAGTAAGGAAACAAAGGTGGGTTTTTGTTTGTTTTTTTTTTTTTTCTTGGTAGCTTCTGTTTTAAAAAAAGTAAACATGACAAGCAGTGTGACTTCAAAGTGCTGACTTATAGCTTATTGTAAATATGTACACAGATCTTTTTTTCTTTTTCTTATTTTTTTGGCCATATTGAACTAGTTGGACAAATGTCAGTGCTTAGATGTTCTAAGCAATTTTTAATGTTTGTCCAGATATTTTTTAAAGGGAATCTTTAAAAAGATTTCATAGTAATTTAGTCCTAAAATGTGAAAGATTTGTTTCAAAATTAAGCACTTAGGTACTCTGGAGTGTTTGTTCCACTAGTATTTACATCTAAGGTAATTAAAATACTGCAGTAAAAATGTTAGTGAACCTTGACGTATTCATCGGAGTTTTCGGGAATTATGAACAAAGGGATCTCTGCTCAAGAGGTAAGGTATGGCATAGGTAGAAAAATACTCAGAATGTGTTTAATGTTTGAATGATGATGTAAACTATAATAGGTATCTTTGGATTTTCAGACAGATGTAGAATTAGGAAAATTTTCTTAAAACTCTCAGAGAAGAGAAATTGTTTATCCACAGATTTGTTTCTGTGTGGCTTTGGAGTACATTCAGAAACACATCCACAGACGTTGTATATATAGGCTCCAGCATTCCAAGGCATCCTCTACCCCTGCTCTCTTAGCATTTATGATTCATATTTAATTTCTCAAGCTGAGCACTATAAAAATATTGTACTTTGAGTGGTAAGTTGAGTACATATTTCATGAGATTATTGCCTGGAATATTTTTGGCAAAATTTTTGCAGTTTTCGGCAAAGCAAAAGGAAAGTACAGTCTCCTTTTGCCTGCTTTTATTAAGTGATATCTAGAACTTACAAAACAGTTGCTTGACTTAGAAATTTTTATTTTGGTTTGAGAAATTAAGGAATTCTGTAAACATTTACTTAACACTGTAACTCAGGGGAGTCTTATACTAAGGATCAAGAAACAATATTGTTGCCTAGTATGTAAAATAATTGATAAAAGAAAGTGATATTCTACGATTCTCTAGGGAATATTAAGTAGGTTCAAAGAGTTAAGTGTTAATACAATAATCATATCTAGAAACAGGAAAATGCAATATTGAATATGGCCAAGATAGGAAAATCGATTAGGACTTTTCCCCTTTGAATTGCTAGTGTAGTTTACTCAATAGAGGGTAATATTGAAAAACACAGTAATCCTTCATCATGTTTTGGAGTTCTTTTTGTAAGAACTGCTAGGAGACATTTTTAGCTTTTTTTTTTTTTTTTTTTTTTTAAAGAGACGAGGTCTCAGTATCACCTAGGCTGGAGTGCAGTAGTGCCGTTGTAGTTCACTGCAGCCTGGGAACTCTTAGCCTCACGTGACCCTCTCACCTCAGCCTTCTCTGCTACAGGCGTGAACTGCCACATCTGCCTATTTTTTTTTCCCCTTGAGACAGGGTCTCACTCTGTCGCCCAGGGTGGAATGCAGTGGCTTGATCATGGCTCACTGCAGCCTCGACCTCTCCAGGTTCAGGTGATCCTCCTACCTCAGCCTCTCAAGCAGTTGGGACTATAGGTATACACCCCCATTCCCAGCTAATTTTTGAATGTTTTTACAGAGATCAAATTTGCCATGTTGTCTAGGCTGAGGAGTGATCCTCCTTCCTCAGTCTCCTAAAATGTTGAGATTGCAGGCATGAGCTGCTGAGCCTGGTCTGGCTTTCCTTAAAATAATTTGCTGTTTATTCTACCTTGACTTTTGGTGTAGAAAACATGATAATGTTGATGTGCATCAACATGCCACCATTATCTTTGCTAAGTTTTTTTTGTGAGAGAACTTAGTATTTCATAGCTGATTCTAAGTACATTCAGGATACTCTTATGTTAAGAAGTTGATTCGGAATTTGCTCCCATGCCTTTAAAAAAAATTTTTTTTTATTTGAGATGGAGTCTTACTCTCACCTAAGCTGGAGTGCAATGGTACAATCTCGGCTCACTGCAACCTCTGCCTCCTGGATACAAGTGATTCTTCTGTCACAGCCTCCTGAGTTAGCTGGGATTACAGGCATGGACCACTACACCTGGCTGCTTTTTGTATTTTCAGTAGATATGGGGGTTTTACCATGTTGGCCAGGCTGGTCTTGAACTCCTGACCTCAAGTGAGCCACCGTGCTCAGCCTGCTCCCATGCCATTTTTGCTTGAAAATGACTTTAGAAATTATCCAGCTTAGCACCCTTAGTTACATACATCATTTCTCATACTACACTTTTTAAACAAATGGTAGCACTCAGGCCCCTTCACTACCAGATGTGCCACTTTACTTGTTGCTTCTGCTTGTTAATCCTAGTTTGGGGCAACCGAGCAAGTCTGATCCCTTTCAAATTTGACAGTTTTCAGAATAGTTATTAATTTCCCAGCAATTCCAAGCCCAAGTTTTCTACATATTAAGTATCCCCATATTCTTTTTATTTTATTTTATTTATTTTTTTGAGATGGGAGTTTCGCTTTTGTTACCCAGGCTGGAGTGCAATGGTGCCATCTCGGCTCACCGCAACCTCCGCCTCCTGGGTTCAGGCAATTCTCCTGCCTCAGCCTCCCGAGTAGCTGGGATTACAGGCACGCGCCACCATGCCCAGCTAATTTTTTTTATTTTTAGTAGAGACGGGGTCTCACCATGTTGACCAGGATGGTTTCGATCTCTTGACCTCGTGATCCACCCGCCTCGGCCTCCCAAAGTGCTGGGATTACAGGCTTGAGCCACTGCGCCCGGCCCCCCATATTCTTACCTCTTATTCGTGTACCGTGCTTTTGAGATCCTTAAAAATTTTGTAGATCTCTGAAGGTACTTCAGCTCCTGTTAGTGTGTGACATCAAACCAGCACATTACAGATGTGCTGTGCCTGCGCTGTTATAACACATGGCCTAAGGTTATGTTTTGCCCTGGGACACGCATACCACTGCCCTTAAGTATTTACCCAGTAAGGTACTTGATTATATGCATGTTGAGATTCTCCGAGGCTAATGATATTATAGTGACGTGAAAAAGTATTTTGTTTCTAAAAAATGAGGTTAGGAGTCTGTATATGTGTATTTTGCATAGCTTATAAAAGAAATGGACTCAATGTTATAGCCACAACGTTGGGAAATCGTAGATACAAAAGTACAATCTCCTTTTAAGTTATTTTCGGTTTGCTTTCTTAATTCTGACAGCTATAAATTCTGTATTAAATTACTTGTGTAAATATAAAATGTTTTCAGGTTGTACTTACTAATAAAAGGGCAACGAAGCTTGTTGGAGACACTTGTCATGTGACTGGCATTGAGAAGAAAATAAACTTGTGTTTAGTAACATAATTAAAATTAGTGGAAAAGTGTGGGAAATATACCAAATGGCAGAAAATGGTGAAGAAGTAGTCCTGGAAGTGTGAGAATATGGCCTAAGCTCTAATTCAGGCACAGTCTTGTGTTACTGAAATACAGTGCAAACATTCTGTTATAGCAACATTATTTTAGTGTAACAGTGCTTTTCATTACCATTTAAAATATTTATCTTTCCTCCCCCAAATCTTGAACTCCTGGAAGGCATGAGGTGTTTATTTAGTGGCTGCCTGTACATCTAAGGGTATAGGTACCCCTATTTGAGAAACACTGGTTGAGTTAGGATATATTTTGTCTTACCTGAGTTAGAATTTGGGGGAAAATAAGAAAAGAACAAACATTTACATACCCACTCAGTGTACCTTTGCTAGGTGCTTTACATATGTTTACCTAATTTAGTTGTGAGAAAGGTAATAATTTTTTTTCATTTTACACATAAAAATGTTGAAGTTTAGAGGTTTTAAGAACTGGCCAAGGGCATACAGTCAGTGAGCACGGAAACGGCATTCAAAGGCAGGTCTGTTGATCTGTTACACCATTGACCAAGCATTTGCATGTTCTCGGGAGAATTTCATACAGAACCTACCTGGCTGTCTGAATTAAAGGGTTGTTAGTATTTCAAAAGGCTTTAAAAAGAGCAGTTTCACATTTATAGAGTAATTGACGAGTGAGTCTAGAGAGTTCCCATTTACCACCTCCTCCCTCCCAGTTTCCCGTTACAGTCTTGTGTTAGTGTGTTGCATTTGTTACAGCTGATGAACCAGTATTGATAAATTATTTATTGAAGTCCATAGTTTGCATAGGGGTTCATGCTTTGTGGCATGAAGTTCTATGGGTTCTGTCAAATACGTGTCACATATTCACCATTAGCATCATACAGAATAACTGGCCTAGAAATGTCCTTTGCTCCCTTATTTGTGTGACTGCTGGATCATATGGTAAGTCTGAGCTTAGCTTTGCGATACAGAGACTGCCAAAGTGGCTCTACCATTTCACATTACCATCAGCAATGAATGTGATTTCTGTGGCTCCACATTCTCAGCAGCATTTGATTGTAGCCACTCTGATAGGTGTGTAGTGGTGTCTCCCTGTTTTAATTTTGCAATTCCCTAATGATGCATGATGTTGAACACCTCACACACTTAACTTTCCGCTCAGTTTGCTGAGTGTGCTTAAATCATTTGCCCATTTTAAAAATCAGTTTTTCTTTTTTCATCGTTGAGTTTTAAGAGTTCTTGGTATATTTTGGATACCATCCCTTTATCGGGTGGTTGGTAAATGTTTTCTCCCAATCTGTGGCTTGTCTTTTCATTCTCTTAATACTATCTTTTGCAGAGTAAAAGTTGCAATAAAGTCTGCCCTTATCGGGTCATGATTTTTGTGGTGTGTCTAAAAATTTAAGGCCGCCTAGACTTTCCCATGTTCGACATTATACAGAGGCTTTTTTTTTTTTTTTTAAGTTTGTGGGTTACCTTTAGATCTATGACCTGTTCTGAGTTAGTGTTTGTGAAAGGGGTGAGATTTGTGTTTACATTGATTTTTGGGGGGATGAGGGGACGTGTGATGTCCAGTTGTTCCAACACCATTTGTTGAAGGAAAGGTCAGTTGACTATATGTGGTTGTATATGTGGGCTCTTTATTCCATTTTGCTTTTCCCTATACCTATGAAGCCAGAATTTTGACTGGGATTGCACTGAATCTAGAGATCAAGTTGGGAAGAATTGACATCTTAGCATTATTGAGTATTCCTGTCTATAAACATGGAATATCTCCATTTTTTTCAGATGTTTGATTTTTGATTAGCATTTTTTAGCTTTTCCTTATATGAGCTCCTATTTTGTTAGATTTATACCAAAGTGTTTACTTTCTTGGTGTTAATGTAAATGGTGCTGTGTTTTACATTTCAAATTCCAGTTGTTCATTGCTGGTGTATGGGAAGGCAACTGACTTTTGTATATTAACCTTACATCCTTCGACCTTGCTGTGGTTGTTAGTTGCAGGATTTTTTTCCTTGATTCCTAGGGATCGTCAGCATACACAATCACATCATCTGCAAACAAGTTTCATTTGTTCCTTTTCAAACGGCGTAACTTTCCTTCTCTGCTTAATGCACTAGCTAGGACTTCCCAGTATAATGTTGGATTGGGGTCGTGAGAGGAGACAGCCTTGTCTTGTTTCCAGTATCCTTTTTCACCAATAAGAAAGATATTTCTCAATGGTAAGTGAGATGTTCACTGTAGGTTTTTTGATACTCTGTCAGGTTGAGGGAGTTTCCCTCTCTTCCTAGTTTGCTCAGTTTTTGTGAATGGATGTTGGATTTTTGTCAATGTTTTTTCTGTATTTATTGATATGATCATATGATTTTTCTTTAGCCTATTTATGTAGTGGATTATATAAAGTGACTTGAATGTCAAACCGGCCTTGTATACATGGGAGTTTCGCTCTTGTTACCCAGGCTGGAGTGCAGTGGCGCGATCTCGGCTCACTGCAACCTCCGCCTCCTGGGTTCAGGCAATTCTCCTGCCTCAGCCTCCTGAGCTGGGATTACAGGCACGTGCCACCATGCCCAGGTAATTTTTTTCTATTTTTAGTAGAGACGGGGTTTTACCATGTTGTTGACCAGGATGGTCTCTATCTCTTGACCTCGTGATCCACCCACCTCGGCCTCCCAAAGTGCTGGGATTACAGGCTTGAGCCACCGCGCCCGGCTGGTGTAGAATTCTTTTTACACATTGTTCGATTTGATTTGTGAGTATTTTGTCAAGAATTTTTGCATCAATGTTAATGAGAGATTGGTCTGTAATTTTCCTTTCTACTACTGTCTTTGTCTAGTTTTGTTACAAAGGCAATGCTGACCTCAGAGAACGAGCTAGAAATTGTTTACTGTTTCTGCTTTCTTTTTTGACACAGAGTTTCACTCTGTCACCAGACTGGAG